ATCATCACCTCTCCTCTAGATGAATAAATCTTAATCATTCTTCTGTTATTCTTTGTAGTTCTCTATTCACATAATCTCTTTGTATTTCACTGTAAGTAGAAGTCCAATCAAGAATTGTTCTAACTGGATCGTTAAAGTATTGGAAACAAGGTCTTAAATCTTTGAAATTGTATGTGAATTTTAATTCTTTACCATCTAAATTTTCTAACACATACGCGTTCTCTAACACACGTTTAACAATATATGGACCATCAAAACCCCATTCATTCTTTGTTTTCTTCTGACGTCTTTTGAAAACATATTCACCAATTGCATATTGACTTAAGGTTTTATGATCATTTAATATACTAGCTTTTCGAGCTTTGTATTTAAGATCTTGTAATTTATCAGTATCAAGTCTAACCTCTTCTAACTTAGCAACACGATAACTAATAGCATCCATCAGCTCCCTCTCGTCATCATTTTCTGGTTCACTACCTAAGTCTTTGAGCTTAAAACCTAAATGATTTAATTGCAATGATGGATCACGATTAACGGAAAATTGAGATTGAGGAATTTCTGTAGCAAGTTTAGCAGCAACAGTGCTTAAATCATCTAACTTTCTACCAGTTGCCAAATATAATGGACTATAACCGTACATATTAGGTTTGCAATTATTCAAAAATGCTGCCAAATCTGTATTAAGATGCCAATATGAATCTAAATCACCTAATTGTTTAAGTAGCGATTTAAATGACCGATTGAATCTTTCATTTTTTCCGTTCGAGCGTGGGTGCAACGAACTGCTAAAATGATAATCAATCCCAAATTTCTTCAAAAATGCATCATTAGTAGATTTAAATGAATGAAAACAGCTTGCATTATCGGACAAAATAACACTTGGGGGGCCAAAAATAGAAATAATTGTATAAACCATAAGCATCACATGAGTAGCAGTTGGAGCTGGACAACATAAACAAAGATTAAAGCCAGTGGTGTGGTCTATGGCCGTCAATATATACTCCATTTTCACCATTTGTGGTTGGTTATCAGACTTGAATGGACCAATGTAGTCAAGGTGCCACCTATTTAAAGGTTTTGCAAGTGGTATTATATTCAAAGGCGTGTCGTTGACAGGATAATAAGCAAACATGGAGCACCTTGAACATTTTCGGACACTATTGATTGCCAATAAACGACTATCTGGGTTATAAAGACCTTTATCATGGAGTAGATGTAAGAGCACAATAACACTTGCATGTGTAGCAGCATGTAACCGATCGAATAATGATAATAATTCTGAATCTGCAATAAACTTCTTCCACTCCTTATTTGTGAAGATATAAATTTGGTCATCTTTAACTGTAGCATCTAAACCTTTCTCAATAAGTTTGGTAGCAGTTTCTGTAACACTTGAATTGGCAACTTCATTAATATTTTGCACGTCATGATCTCCATTTGATGGTTTTTCAGTTTGTTTTTCAGTGGAATCGGTGAAATGATAAAAATTTTCCAAATTTTCTTCATGATCTAAAATTGGAGTCCAAAAATGGTTCAGCATATCATTTTCAACCGCGAATTCTCTTGAGTCAATTTCAAACAACTGATTTTCAATTGGATCATCCACAAATTCATCTAATTGTAAAATATCTAAAACATCCAAAGTAGCTTTAACACCTGGTAAACGAACGTCGCTAGCACCACTGAGGACTGCTTCATCAATAGCTTTCTCACCTGAATTTTCAACCTGGTAACGAGATAAGATGTCAGCAATATTGTTATTTCCAGCTATTTTCTTAAGATTGATATTATAACAACTAAACCTCTCAATGAAACGTAATAGCCTATTATTCAAGTTGGAACTGTTAACTAAAGAGCACACTGTTGAATTATCACTATAAACAGTTACCTTGTCATTCAAGTATGCTGAAAATTTATCTACCACTGTTATTAAACTTAGAAATTCCAAATCTATAATGGGATAACGACATTGTGTAGGGGTATAGCTAAAAGAACAAAATCTGATGGGGACTAATTGGCCCAAAGCGTTAGCTTGTAGTAAAACTCCACCTCCACCAACCAAGCTACTGTCAACCATAATTGTAACCGGTTTTTGAGCATCATACATGAATACTGAACAACGATTAATAAGAGCATCTTGTAAAATTGTGAAATTTCTATCTCTCAAAGCAGCTTCTTCTGGTTTAAAGGTATAAAAAGGTTTTAGCAACTTTGAAACGTCAATGCCTAAGTACGAATGAAAATAGTTGAAAAAGCCAGATACATGCTTGGCTTCTGAAGCAGTAGTTGGAGGTTTCCAATTTTGTACCACTTTAAAACGATCTAAATCTGGTTTAATGACCTTATTTTCAACACAAAAACCTAAGTATTTTAACTGTGTAGTGCAGTATTGAATTTTTTCCTTATTCAATGAAATATGATGTTGTTGGAACACTTCTAAAACTTCATCTACCACTTTCTTATGGAATTTCTCAGATCCACTGGAGCTAATTGAAATATCATCAAAATATATATTTATTGTAACCTTTTCATCATTTTGATATTTTTTCAACACATTTGACAACACCCTATGTAAGCATCGATTAAATACACCTGGGCTGGACCGTAATCCAAATAACATTTTGGCTATCTTAAAAGTGCCAAACTTCGACACCACTCCAATACCATCACCTGTAAGATTTATATGTGTATAAGCGGCTTTAATGTCGAGTGTGGTATGAAATTGATGATTAGCAGCAGCATTTAGGAGATCACGAGCTTGAGGTACCGGAAAATCATAATTTGAACTAATATAATGATTTAATGCTCGAAAATCAAACACTATCCTACTTTTACCGTTACGATTCCTTGTAACAAACATAGGCACCACCGGCAAATCATTATCACTTGAAATTTCCTCTAAAACACCTTCTTTAACCGCCTTTTCCAAAAATTCTAAGACAACAGCTTCATCTGATGGGTTTAATGGATAAGATTTTTGTTTAATACGTTTGGCGCCATCCATAAGTTGTACGTTATAGGTGAGTCCAGTATTCCTTTGACCATGTGCACTGGGATTAAAAACCTCTGGATATTTATGGAATAATTCTTCTTCAATGCTAATGATCTCATGGGGAGCAGCAGTTAAATTGAAACCATCTTGAATATCTTCTATTCCAATTTCATAAAGGGTAGGAAAATCCAAATCAAATGCATCTTCTTCACCACCAAAATGATAGATATTCTGCAAATTTTTCTTCTTAACTCTGTGTAAAGCATCTTGGACGGTAATACCAGCAAAACAAGTTCTTTGTGGGGTTATATGGTAATGGTAATGACTTAAATCGGGCAATCCCACAATTATTTTGTAACGAGGGTGGGCGAATTGAAGGTGTGAACATTGTAATTCAACCGTAACCTGATCATTTAAAATGAAATCAATCGTGACCAGCTTTTTACTAATCATTGTTGTTCCATTCACACTTTTAAAAACCTTGTGTTGATCTTCGATTTTCTTTATTTTCAACCTATGATTGTTATCTAATTTAAATTCATGCTGTAAAGAACCAAAAATGATTGAATTGGCTGCACCAGAATCATAAAGGACCGAACGAGGTTCAGTAGTGGATTTCTTTGAAATTCCAATTTGATTAATACTGAATTGGCCTCGCAGAATCTTCTTCTTCACCACCTGACATGGAATGATATACTTCTTCATCTTCTGAATTTTCACCATCTGCAACCTCATTAATAGAACGACCTTTGCCACCTTTAGTGTAATGATCACTTGATCTACCTTTAGCATGATTTTCACTTGATCTGTTCTTATAGTGGCGTTGCTTGAGATCTGAGCAGCTTGAGCAGCTACAGTTTTTACACCAGAAGCGAGTTCTAGCAACATGGCGTTTAAACTTACCATGTAAAGCATCTATTTCCTCAATATCATCTTCTTTGGCCTCATGAACGTCACCATCTGAACCCATTTCATAGATACCACTATTATTTTGAGCAGCAAAAGGATATTCCTTTGAAACTTTGACAGTTTCTAAATTGAAGTTTTTGAGTACTTCACGTATCTTCTTTTCTTGGGTGATACGAGCAAAACCAGATATATCAAAATTGGTAACATAGTGGAAGTCCAATAATTGTGTAATGAACAAAACAACAACAGGTAAGCAACCTATTCCATTGACTCTATGATAAAGCTTAAAGATTTGCTCAATAGTAGACCCAATTGTAATACCAACACTTGGTTGATAACGGATGAGGTCATGAAATTTTGACATGTTAAATCTGACCAAGTTGACATTTGTAAACAAGAATTCTAGCAATTCCTTCCAGGATGAGCAGTAGTTGGTAATACCATAAATAACATCTTTTGCAATGTAACTGCGAGCAGCAGCTAACCAGTATTCGAAATCCAAATGATTGGAAATGAAATGATTTTGGAGTTGTTCCACTTCTTCAACCCTTCTTTCTGGATTGTTGGTAACAATAACATAAGGGGAACTTTTAATGTGTTCTTTAGTACACCCAACTAAACGATGATCATCTTCATCTAAGATTAAATCTGGGACGTATCTTTTGATTGTATCTTCAAAGCTAAGAGTTCCTGTTAACTTCAATTGGAGTTTGAATGAAGTTAATAATTGATTTTGTTTATCCAATTCATCTTGGACTAGAGCTTTAGCAACAGCTTCTTCTTCTTCACGTTTGATACGAGCAGCTTCTTCCTCTTCTTGTCTTTTGATTAGAGCTTGGTATAACTTTTCCATAGTAGCAACCTTGTTCTTCAAAACAGTAGTGTCATCTTCTTCTGTAACCTTTGTCTTGGCGACTTTGACTTTTGGATCAGCAGCTTCAGTAGGTTTTGGCATTGTAGTGTCTTGTTCTTGATCTGATGATTCTTCAACAATTGATTGAAATGTTAAGTCTTCGTCTGATTGAAATTCTTGTTGTTGACGTTCTTGAAATCTGATTTCACGTTCTTGTTGTTGCACAGCTAAACGTTGTTTTCTTTCTTCTTCTAATTTATCAAAATATGAAGACATAAATGTTGTTGGCTGATTGTGATATCACTATAGTTGATTGTATTTGAACTTTTTACCTAAGTCTTTATATAGACTCTAAATTGATAAATCAAAAAATTAATTTTTT